CCACAATATTATTTGTATACGTACATACTACATAGTGCTCGACTGTTTTTAGGTTTTTATAATAAAATATAATATTATTCAATTAAAAATTTCTTTTTTCTATACCTAACAACTGAAAATTCTAACTCGTGCCTCGTAACATAATGGAAAACAAAAGGAAAAATCCATTTCTATCTTTTTTTCAAAAAAAAAAAACAAAATCTAACGAAGAAAAAAATACAGATAATACTGAGGTAAAAATGATACAATTCGATTTATTAAATACTCAGGACATTTAGGTATATGTAACAGGGGCGGACTGGGCCGGCGGGATACCGGGAACTTTCCCGGTGGGCCGCTACTCAAAAATAATTAGTTACCTATTATTATTTATTTATAACAAAATCAGTAGGTATAAATATAAATTATAAATATTTTGTATTTTCATATCATAACTGTTGAGTGTGCAAAATGTTTATATTATATTTGGTGTTAAAGATTTTAGATTTCGGTTCAGCTGGTTGAACAGACCCTCGGCATCAATGCTAAACAGAAATTATTATTTATAACTACTAGGGTGTGAATTTGAAGATAAATTGCATTTTTTTCTGGATTCTCTTAAACATTGCTTTCCAATCAAAAAATGTATTTCATACATAAAATAATTTAAAAATTAAATTTTTATTTAGCATTTTTTTAACTTTACTGATTTATAGAACATTTTTTTGACGTTTTTATGACATTTTTATCGTTTGAAGGAATTTTTCGTAAATTTTATAAGTATATATACAATCAGCGGCGTCCGCAGGGGGGAGGCTAACGGGCTGAAGCCCCCCCCTTTTCCCGTATTATTATTACTTTTTCAAAAAAATATTGATTAAGTTTAAACTGTCAACTATAGTAAATCTCATATAATATGTCTTACCAGAATGAATTCATTTTTGAAAAAACATTGAATTTGCATACCAATTTTCATAAATTATCTGTAATTTTTCGGTAAAAGTATGAACTACTTGTATGAAAGACCTTGTATTAAATTGTCTGGACTAGCCTTAGATATACATATTTTATATTTTATAAGTTTTGAACTACAAATTAACCGTGGTTTTGACGAAATTTGAACTTTAAATGCTTATAAAAAATAACCATGATGCCTATGTATTGTTAATATTTTAGCTATAATAAAAAAAACTTACGTATTACATTTTTAAGCTTTTTGACATTTATTTTTTTGATATTTTTTATTGACATTTATTAATAGAATCTAAAATAGTTATAATTTCTGGACAATAAACATGATAACTCCAAAAATGATTTATTGTTTTTAATTTTAACTCTGATAAATATACAAATAAATGTATTAAAATAAGCTTAGTAAGTGTATAGAAGTCATACGTTTTTCCACTAATAATATTTAGCTATATATAGTTTAAATATATTACTTTATGAATTTTGTTTATTCTTCAGTAATATTTCTACTTTAACCACTTAGTATTATGTTAACTGAAAAATTAAATTGTTATTCATTTAATTTTACATAAAAACTGGCTATCATACCTTAAAGATAGCGATAGGTAATAATATTAGTCATAGTAGAATGTAAAGTAAACATATTTAACTACATTATAAATGATATGAACATGGTAAAAGATAGTAAAATAAAAATATTAGTAACATGGATATTTTATTTATCAGCTTGATTTTATCAGTCATTACATATAATATCTTACAACAAATAAAATAATAAAAACCAATGAAATATTTATAACAAAACTATTAATTAACTTGATTTTTTATCAATCATAGTTAAACAATAAAATATTTGAAACAAAACTAATGATCTCCTTGATTCTTAAATTTTATAATAAAAATAATAAATAATATCACTCATAATAATTCAAATTTGAAATCTTAAACAAAATTATACTTCAAAACAATAAAATTAATAAAACAAAACTAATAATCATTTTGATTTCTTAATATTCTAAAATATATTTTCTTTAATATTAATATTAAAACTGAGTAACAATTTTTAATACCTAGTCATCTTCATCATTGGATATAGTACCATTGTTATCTTGATTAGAACTGGTTTCTTTAACTAAAGATCTATAGAACCAAATGTATTCAGGTGGAACATACTTTGATGCTAGGCATTGCACATCAACAAACTTGGCAGATTTAATTTCTAATGATCCATTATATAACAATTTAGGAATAGTTGCACATAAAGATTGTATATTATTCTCTGCTCCTTTTTTTTCAAGGATAAATTTTTCTTTACCAGTAGAATGTCCAGAAATACTACAAAATAAGCCAGCAGTTGCTCGCGCGCTCTCCTCAGTCCTCACTCTTTCGACGGCTCCCAGACTATCGTCTAATTTAGATTTAAAAAAAAAAAAAACTCAACTCAAGCCTTGGGGGGGGATCAAACCCAATGATCCCCCCCCCCGTAAATACGCCACTGGTTTGATGTGTGTTAACACTAGAATTCTATCATCATCATATTAACTAATTAAATAGGCGTCTATCATAAATAATCTACCTAAACATACAAAACTACTAAATATGAATATATTTATTATTTAATATAACTATAATATTAATAATATTAAATTATGTTATAGGAAAAAACACAGCAGTTGCATGGAGAGTGTGGAAATCCCAGCCCATTTCATGACTATTTCCTATCCCTGCCCTAAGGGTAGGAAATATTCTAATAGTGTTTAAAAAAAATAAAATTAAAAACCTACCTAATAATAAGAGTAATAATAATATTCATTTCAGTTGTAATATCCTATAAATTATTTGTTTCAGATACTTCATTATGCAAAAAAAGTAACATGGTACTCGATTATCATAGAAGTTTTTATATTGATAATTTGTGCTTCTATGATGGTGATGAAATTAGGTTAGTCAGAAAAAACTGTAGTTCTTACCTATTATACGTAGCTGGTCTTGTGGTACATAGACTTAATCCTTTTACAGTTACATCGAAATTTTTTTAGATTTTTCGGTAAGACTGTAAGAGAATTAACTACTTACGCGGAATCTTGTTTTAAATTTTCAATCCTTAGCTATAAAAACTGAACATTTTATAATTTATTAATTACGATGATTAATAATTTTCGAGATTTTGAAAAATTCTGTCAAAATTCGATGTTAAAATGCTTATAAAAAAAAATTTTGCCTATGTATTTTTAATATTTTTCAACTGATATTGTAACAATATATCAGGAGCCTTGTATTAAATTTTTACACTTTTTGGCCCAACAGATAAAATTTAATTGATATTTATAGAAAAAAAAAACTAAAAAAATTGAAAAATGAAAATGTCCGTAAACGGCTCAAAAAGAGTTAAAATATTTTCAAAATTGTATGGTGTATAGGAAATGCTAATCTGAACATTCAGTGAAATTTTCATGTATCTACAGTAATTCGTTTTTTAATTACAACAAAAAAAGGAAATTGCCACATGAGAAATCGAGTGAATATCCAATGTTGTAAAAATTTGAATTTCAAACGCTCATAAAAATTTAATTTGACTTTCCGGTAGAGATTTTTTTATTGATAAAGGTAGACAATCTTATGAGTAATCTTGTATTAGATTTTCAAATCTTAGATTTAAAAAGAAAAATTTTTACGAATTCTTAACTCAAAATAATTTGCTAATTTTCGTGATTTTTCCATATTTTGTCAATTTTTGAACTTTAAATGCTTATAAAAAAAAATTGTGACTAAGGATTTTTAATATTTTTCATCTGCCTTTGAAACAATATATTAGGATCCTTCTATTAAATTTTCAAGCTTTCGCAACCAACAAATAAAATTTTATTGATATTTCTAGAAAAAAAACTAAAAAAAAACTAAAAATGAAAATGTCCCTAAACTGTTCAAAATAAATCAAAATATTTTGAAAATGTTATCGTGTATAGAAGATGCAAATATAAACAACCAGTGAAAATTGCATGTACCTACGGTCATTTGTTTTAAAGTTACACCAAAAACCAAATTCAATTTTCTGAATAATCGATTTTGCGTAAAAATTCCCGTTTTTCCTTAATTTTTCTTTTGTTTTTCCCGGCGCTCTTGAAAACTACTGGGAAATTTAAATTTTGACCTCCCCAATGCACCAACGATATTCACTTTCCAATCGAACAAGATACTGAAGTCGAAAATCGAAGCATTATTTCGACTACTTATCGTGTACACAGACACAAAAAAAATAAATAAAAAAAAAAAAAAAAAAACACACATCATTGTAAAATCAATACATTCATCGTTTCACTCAGAATCTAAAATTAGAGACAATTGTGAATATGAATTTGAAAATATATTTTCAAAAGCAAAGGTAAAACATAGAAAGTTTGTTGTTTATAATGTCTAACTAATAATATTTATTATTTACAGGAAATGGCTGATGAAGTAGATATTGTATTAAAAATTAAAAGAATTTCAAAAACACAAACTAACCGAGCTAATCCAAATGATAATACTCCCAATCCAATTTCAAATGTTCAAGATTACTATAGAATAACTGTTTTTATCCCATATATTGATTATTTCACAAGTCAATTGACAGAAAGGTTTTTGTCACATTCTAAAGTGTTCAATGGTACGGTATTATAATTTATAATAACATATAATCTAATAAGTACATTTAGATATATTTACATTTTTTTTTGTTTAATTTTGTTCTGGTAGGTTTTGAATGTTTGTTTTCAAATAATGTTGATCTTACAGAAAATGACAAAGCATATTTTTAAGAGTTAGTGGAATTCTATTCACCACAAATCGATAAAAATAATGCAATAGCTGAATTGAGGCTTTGGCGGGCTAAGCTCCAAAGAAGTGGGATTATACCTAAAACAGGAATTGATGCTCTTAGTGAATGCAATTCAGAAATATATCCAAATATTAATCTATTATTAAAAATATTATGCACATTACCAGTTTCCACTACAACTCCCGAACGTATGTATTCAGCACTCAAACGAGTTAAAACATATCTCCGTAACACAATGTCTGAAGTAAGACAATTATTATGATTAAAGTATCTAGTTTTATTTTATTTGAAAATTATTAATTTTAGGACCGATTAAATGGTTTAACTATGATGGCTGTACATAAATCAATTGCAATTAATCCTGATGATGTGATTGACGAGTTGGCTAAACAGCCAAGAAAATTAGAAATTCTTTTATAAACGTAAAAATGTATTACTATGTACATTATAATTATTACAAACAAAATAAATTTAATATTTTAAAAATTATTATTTAATTTAAAAGTAAATTTTAATTTTAATATATTCAAAATTTACATTTTAAAGAAATTATTATAATATTGTATAGGTACTAAATTGTGTAGAATTTTAAAGCACATTTATTAATACATTTTGTGTACAAATATATTAGTTTAAGAATTTTTGATGAAATAGTCTTCCCAGATATTGTACTTGAAAATCGAAGTATTTTGTGTGTAAAAAATGTTTATCCTCCCCTAAGACAAATTCCTAATTACGCCACTGTTATGAGTACCATAGGCAGAACTAGACAGTTTTATTAGACTGGGCCACTTTTCTTAGTCAATTCAGACATGTAGGCTTATAAATGGTAGGAAGGAGGGGGTGGAAAATTCATTGATACCATTTTTATTTTTAAATAATTTGCATATGATTTTCATTTAAGAATTCAAGTAATAATTATATAAGTATGTTGTAAAATAATATATAATGTTGGAGTTCATATTGACAATAATTTATGTTTATTAATGGAATACAGTGAAGCGTAGGTATAACATATCTTATTATTAGTAAATAATAATTTATACTGACTACTGTATATATTATTACAGGGCGCGACTAGCCTGGGCCAAGGCTCAGTTGGCCCAGGCCATAGTTCCGCCTTTGATGAGTACAATAAACCTAATTATTTTATTACTCACCAGCAGATGACAAAACAATATCGGCACAACTAGTTTTTTCATTTATACCAATCAATTGAATTGGGTTCTTGTAACTACTTAGCCACTTGGACAGCCTTTCAATACTACCACATGGAACTGCTGATAAATGTGTAACTAAAAGTTTCTCATACACCTCATTAGCGTCCTCTATATTACAAACAGTGATTGGAAGGGTATGAGCACTGAAGATGCTAAAACGAACAAATTTAGCTCCTGTTTTCCAACAGTCAATTCTACCAAGACCACCAACAAACAGTGTTTGCAAAGGTCTTAAGCTGAATGTTCTTGGTTTCATAACCGTAGTTGGCAGAGTCATCATTAGCTCTTCTGTAGTCAATAAATTAATAGATTGATCTGGATGAACAACACCTGGTGTATCGTATATAAATTTACTGTTTTTGAATTGTGGTTCATTTTTGTCAAAACCCAAAGTGATACTGGTTATGCAGCTTGTAATAACTTTACTGCATTTGTAGTAAATGGATAAGTTTCATTTTGTTTTACAATATCATCAATACTTGATTGTTTATGAAACATAAGACCAATTTGACCTGAAGTATAATTTTTATTAAATTTTACAATATGCAATAATCAAAAAAGCTATTCATTAATTACTAACCAATAGTTGAAGGTAAATCATTATCGTTCAATTTTAATGATCATCTTTGGTCTGCATCTAATTGTTGTTCTAAAATCTTTTATTTTCTTTCATACTGAACCATCAATAGCCAGGTATTGATGAGTTCTGACGATGTAATAACGCTCCACAGCCACCACACGGTACGTTGCTAATTAGTATGGATGGATCAGGTGTACCGTACTGCGAAGTCCATGAAGGAATACTGTTTTCCTCCTCTAGCTTTCTCTCTTCATAACACTCATAATCGCTCATCCAGTTCTATGCCATCAACTCGTTCAGCTCATCTAAAAGTTGAGACCCAAAATTTACAATTATGCAATGTCAAAGTATAATAATCGATAAAAAATAACCCTACGTCATAATGAAGGTGACACTTACAATCATAACTTATTTCATTGTCTTCAGTCTGTTAGCTGACATGCTTGTCGCTGACTATTTTACTAACAATACTGTACGGAAAATTGTGCAGTCTGTCTATAGACACTTCTGCCGCTCTGTATTCTGCGGTTTGGTCTGCTCCAGTATACCCATCCAAGTATTGCAATGACACGGACTCGACGTCACACTTGATCTCTTCAAACCTTTGTTTTTTGAGCTTCTCCCGAACGTTCAACCAGTGTTTCACAGGCTTTTTACCCTGCAACACTGAATTATGGACGATTCCATCCAACACGTCGTTCTTAAAAGCCGGCGACTGTCCGTAGGCGCCACACCGCCGCTTCAGGTGCGACCACAACAATCGACAAGCGAACATTATTCCACGGCAACGTCTAAATTCGCATAGCCATATTTGTATAATAGTAATATTCTCACGTAAAATACTGGTGTGTAACTTGAAACAACACATCTCCAGAAGCACCCACGCTGCGGCCAAGCTTTGGGTAATAAGTATGAGTGTATTGACGTATTGTGTATAACTATATTAATACTATATTATTTTATTTATACTTAAATAGTCATATTTTATCACTTTAGTTCGGCACTCCGGCAAGATAGTTTCGTTGTTATCATAGATAAGTATGTATGATGGTTGTTATCGCAGTTAGCACCAAACTCCGCTTCTGATAACGTCCCGAAATGAATCGCAAGATCAAACGGTCACTGGCTGCGCTGCGTACGGTGCGGAACCCGCTAGGTCTCCAGTCGGTCGTGTTTTATTGTCCTGCACTCCTGCGGTTTTAACTGACTTCAATTTTGTCAAAACAATTAATGTATGTTTTTTGTAAAAATTCGTGTAGTGAAATTTATAATAATATGGTTACCGGGTTATTGACATGTAGCATTGCTCGTACGAGGGAGGATACCCACATTTGATTTCACTCACGCTAATAATCATTTACAACTAACACATAGAATGTCATAGATCCCGGGCGGCTATGACAAGATTAGAAATTGCTTAAACGTTGCCCCCAGTGGCGCCGAAGTTTTTAAAATGTGGTCGGGCAATTTCAAAACTTCGCGGCCTCAATATCTTAACTATTTTAATAACCCTATTTCCGTAAAAAAAAATATAAAATTTGGATGGGAGGAGGTGGTAAATAAAAAATTACATGAAATAATATGTTGTACGTATACAAATTGTATTAAGTTAGTGAAAAAATGTACACTGGATTCCATCCGGGTTTGACCATCCTACGTTAAAACTTCCCTAATACATTCTGTCCCAACAGGGAACACAATTTTACTAAATAGGTACCTATTTAGTTGTATTAAAAGAAAAAATAAATAAAAATAGTTCATTTCTCACTAATTATTTAAAAAAACTGAATTAACATTTTTTTCTGAGGAAAAATCACAGATTTCGACAGACACCAGGGAACTATATATTAATTATTATTTATATTATGTACAATGTACATACATAGATATTTCCCAAAATTTTAAAGTTACAAATAAATCTTTAGGATGCTACAAAAATATACAAATTAAAATCTTTAAAATATAAAAATATAGATTTAAGATACTGACTGTTGAAAAATGAAAATATATTTATTTTAAGTCAGTTTATATATAATAAACATAAAACATGTTAAGACTAATTAGTAATGACTAATAAAATTAAAAGGTTAATATTTTAGTCAGAACTGATGATTTTCCAGCAAAAATGTCTATTACCTGAAAATAAATAACATTATTTTTAATAAAATTATTTAGGTTATCAATTTTTTTTATTAAAATTAAGTACAAAATGCAATAATTACTTTATCGATATCAATATTTATATCATGTTCACATGAAATAAGCATTAAATTTTCTAATCTTGTTTGTTCCATCGTTGAACGTAGCCTGGTTTTTATAATTTTTAATTTTGAAAAACTTCTTTCAACTGTACAGCTAGACGTTGGTAGTGTTAAGCTTAGTTTAATTATATTATATAAGTTTTCAAATTCTGCTTTTATGTTGGTGTTATTCATTGTTTCAAAAATATTTATTAAACTTGCCATGTTCTTATAATTGTCTATTTCCCCATCACTTTCTTCATCGTCACTATGAATGTTGTCTTCATCAGAGTCTACATGTATTTGTTCTGGTAACTTTAATAACAAGTTAACATCTAAATCTTTAACAATTTCTTTAAACATGACATATTCATTTTTGATTAAATCTTGGTTTAATCCATACACATTGCATATCATTTTAAATGCATCTTGAGGGAGATCAGTTTTTTCTTTCATTCTTTTTAATGATAATAGACCAATATCTTTCATGACTGATACTGAATTTTGATTAAACTTGTCATGAATCTGTTGTATTATAATATCGATTGTTACAAAATATACTGATACTTTAAAGTATTGAACTGGATTCTCAATAGTTTCATCTAAAGTTATCTCACCGATTTGTCGAACAACTTTTTTTTTTCCTGTTCCTAAAGGATCGTAAATTATTTATTTCAAATTCACCAAAATGGTTTTTTGAAAATGATTTTGCTTCTTCAAAAATATCATTGAAAACTTCATCATTACGCATCTTAGTAATATTATTTTCTGCTTTTTTTAAATAATTGACGGCAGCCAAAATGTCTAAATCTCTACCTTGAAATAATTTACTTAAAGGCCCTAGAATATCAAACAGATGCTTAAACATAAATGCTGTTACAATAAAACGAGAAGACTGAAAATACATTAATAGCCCATTGCATTCAGTGGCTATTTTATAATCTGATGAGCCATCTTGATTTTTAACTTCCTCTAACATATCCAATATTGCTTCCAGTGTTTCAAAAATTGTTGTTAAGGCAAATGAGTTTGACATCCATCTTGTGGTACCAACTCTTTTTATTGCATGTACTTGTTTTTTTGGATAAATTTCTTTTTGCTTCATTCTATAAATGTCTGATCTTTTTTTACTGCATGTTATAAAACAGTAAAGCTTTTCCATGTTCCCAAATAAATCTACTGCTTCTACACAAGATCCAACAGCAGATAAAACTATTAAATTTAATCTGTGGGCATGACACCACACAAAAAGGGCTTTTGGATTTTCATCAAGAATTCGTGCTTGGAGTCCAGAGTATGACCCCCTCATATTCGCAGCACCGTCGTATGACTGACCGACTAAATTTTTCTTCCAGTTCAAACCACATTTTTCCATTACACATTTAAATATGTCAAAAAGCACTTTACCAGTAGTTAAAGGCGATTCAGTTATTGCAATAATTCTTTCATGTATTTTAGAATTGAAAATGTATCTTGCAATAAATGAAAGCTGCTCCTTGTGTGAAACATCAAATGTTGTATCCATACATATACTAAAATATCCAGCCTTCACAATCTGTGTCCTAATAACTGACGAAATATATTGAGCAATGGAGTCTATTAGAGAATTCTGTCGATCCCAAGAAATAAAAGAATTTTCTTTCTTTCCTTTGGCCATTAACTGATTGATATGGACAGATAGAGTAGGTGAATGTTGTGAAATTAGAACAACCATATCTTTAAAATTTCCTTTTAAGTCACTTTCCCAATTTTCTTTATGCCCCCTGAATGGGAGATTATGTCTTGCCAAAAAAATTGTTATTTCAATTAATTGTTTAACTAGTTCTCTATTGAATGCCACTTGCCGGTTACGGTCTTCGAGTATAGATGGTAGAATTGGTAGACAACTTTGTTTTAATTTAACTTTTAATGATGCAAATATATGAGTAGAAGAAGTTTCATGTTTAGTAATCGATAATGATCCATTTTTCCAATGACAAAAACCTTCTTTTGTCCATGCAGTATTGGTATTATTACCATATAATATGCAATAAAGGCAAAATATCTTATTTAATTTAGGAGAATAACTAAGCCATTCCCGTTTTACATATGTATTATCAATTAACTTTCTGTTGTACCAAGCTGAATGAAAACTTCTATTTAGATGGTCTTTTTTATAACTCACCAAGCTTAAATCTTGTTCTTTAGGCTGACAAGCTCCCAAACTTAGAATCATATTTCTTAACTCTGGAGTCCATTGTTCAACTTTAACAAAATTAACAGGATCATTTTTAAAAATTATTTTTGAACCATCCAATGGATCTCCACTTGCAGTTTCTTCAGATAATTCAAGTGAAACATTTTTGGCTACGTATTGCTAAAATTATATATTAATATTTAATAATATTAGATAATTAATAGGTACCTACTCATAGGTCAAGATTAAAAAAATAAATTTATTTACCAAACAATTATCTGTAGAATTATTGTCCATTACAATATTGGAAATATCTGCATTTTCTTCAATTACTTCAGTGGAAACATTTTTGGCTATAGATTGCTAAAATGATATATTAATATTTAATAATATTAGATGATTCATAGGTACCTACTCATAAGTCAAGATTAAAAAAATAAGTTTATTTACCAAACAATTATCTGTAGAATTGTTGTCCATTACAATATTGGAAATATCTGCATTTTCTTCAATTACTTCAGTGGAAACATTTTTGGCTATAGATTGCTAAAATGATATATTAATATTTAATAATATTAGATGATTCATAGGTACCTACTCATAAGTCAAGATTAAAAAAATAAGTTTATTTACCAAACAATTATCTGTAGAATTGTTGTCCATTACAATATTGGAAATATCTGCATTTTCTTCAATAACTTCAGTGGAAACATTTTTGGCTATAGATTGCTAATTTTTTTTTTAATAAATATCAGGTGTTTGTAATAGTTGTAATAGTTTTGATTTTATAAAATGTTTAATATTTAGTATTCACAATTCTTGAGAATAAAAAATAAGTATTAACTTACTTTACATGATGTATTGGAAGAAAACATGTTAGTTATTTTGTGACATTGTTGGGCCACAGTGTTTAATATTTTCTGGTGTTTTTCCCTATTTTTCTCTGCACCACCTTTAAATTTTCTTTTTTTGTTGTCATTATTCATAATTTAGCCTGCAGATATACCTTAGAAGGTTTTAAATAATACAATTAGAATATTGAAAAAAATATCTGAAATTTAAATTTTAAAAGCTCATTCAAAATATTATAATTGTGAATTAAAATTGTTTTATTTAATATTTTTTAATTATGTGAGAATACAATATAATTATATGAATAATATTAAAAGGGCATACAGAAATATTTAAATATAATATATAATATATATATTTTAGTTGAAATAAAATTATGTAAAAAATAATAAATAAATAAAAACTAATTTTATTCATAAAATAGTTTATAATTTGTTAGTACTGAAAGTATATTTCATTTTGGCTACCTAAGTAATTTTACTACCATTAATTTAAAGTTAAACATAA